TATTCTTGGTTGGAACGAAAACTTTTCAGTATCCCCTTGTATTTCAGTCATCAAATTCGTACAAATATACACCAGCTATACAAAAATGAAAACTCTTTTCTGTATACCTTTAGCATGTTGACGATCATGGTTCTCCACAGCTTCCTATCATTTGGAATTTGTTTGCCTTTTAAATAGCATTCCTATTTTCTGTTCAGTAATCCATTTACACAACACCATTAGGTAGGTGACTCGATGTTTCCTTGTCTCAATTGCATTTAATGTCTTGTGAGTGTTATATTTTCGAATCTTTCTTTGTTATATCTTCAAGAAATGTCGTCCTTGTGTTTCTACATTGCACTTCAACGATATTTTCCTGTTTCTTAATACCTTGTTTAGTTTTTGGAAGGCATTTTATTCATCAAGCATTCACTGCTAGATAGACGGACTGATATTACATAGTAGTTCAACACTGTTTTTATTGTTTCTAACGATATTTTCTCGTTTCTTAATACTTTGTTTAGTTTTTGGAGAATGAAAATACTTTCCAAGTTATTCGCGTCTAAAGCGCCGCTCCTTGCGCCGAGCTAATTATTTTTCTCCGATTGAAGGGAGTGGCTAACGAGACACAAACAAAATCCGAACTTATTTTTTTATTTTATTTTACTAGGTCTGTTTTTTTCTATCAATTAGAACAAAATATTCTCCTCTTTCATCAAATTGACATCGACTGCTGTAAACATATTTGGCTACTGATGTGATGAGTTTTTTTCTTCGAACACTTCAAAGTATATTGTTTAACCGGACCACAAACCTTCTTTTATATATGTTTCTTTCAATGAGACAGAAGGAAAAATATAATAATTATTCAGTTTTTCTAAAGAGCTTACAGTTTTTCTTTTATGAAGAATAAGAGGGTGTAGAAACGGTTCGTAGTGATTATTATCCACATTGTTTTACAATGTATGTTAAGTTGCTGAAAAGTTCTAGTCCTGATCCAATTCCCAAAATCTAAACAAACCTGGAAAGACTTGTTATTCGGGCCGAGAATTTTTCAGCACTATCTTGTCATATGGTGTATTTTGATCCGAAATGTTCTCTCTATGCAATTATTACTGACCAATGATATGTACCAATAATATGATTATGGTGTGGTGGAAGGTTTTAGAAATGACAACTTATTGTGGGAAAAATCTGCCTCGTCAGTCATGTATCGAAAGATACATGATAGCTTAAGCGTGTATCACTCATGGCACATAACGGATTGAACTAACCGCTTAATCGTGTCAAGAAAGCTTCGAAGACATTTTCATTATTTTTACACCATTCGCATGTTTAAGGCAACACCTTATATATATATATATATATATATATATATGAAGAAATATATTTTAAGGTGTGCTATATTTATGGGATAAAGTGATCAATATCAGAGATAGAGCGTATGTAAATATAAATATAAAAGTGAACATTGAAGAACAGGCCGCCTGAGGATTGCATCTAGCATGAAGCAGCCTGTCGCCTCTGAGTGTTGACTTCAACGTTCACTTTTATATATATATATATATATATATATATATATATATATATATATATATATATATATAATGTGTGTGTGTCTATATATATATATATATATATATATATATATATATATATATATATATATGTGTGTCTACATATATATATATATATATATATATATATACTAAAGAGAAAGAGAAGCTGCAAAAATGTTTAGTTATAATGTGGTTGTATTTTAGTTTAATATATATTATACTTTGGCAAAAGAAATATTGAAAATAAAGTATAAAAATCAACATTATAAACCGAAAAGGTTTCTCTTTAAAATATACGCTTTTTCTCTCATTGGAACCACTGTAATCCTTTATATATATATATATATATATATATATATATATATATATATATATATATATATATATATATATATATATATATATATATATATATGTTTTTGTATATTTCAAAAGCAGTTACACATACTGTCATTTTTAGACCATTTCAAACGTTCAACGTCAGATAGATAACGACTAGCACCCCCACCCAGCAAAGTTTAAGATTTTAGTGTTTAGGAGATTTTAGACTGACGGGTCTTGGCTACAATGTTCAATGCTTGTTGCACTAAAGAATGGCATTCATTTGAACGTTAATGTTCGTTGCCGTGTAATGGATATCGGCTCGGTGTGAGAAATCGGTGAGCCGAGTTCGAATACCAGTCGGATTTATTAGATTCACCTACGCGCAAATAAGCTTGGGAAAGGTATGTATCCATCTCTTCTCCCCTCCAGCTAGGGGTTGAATAGCAGTACATACTGAGTTGCCTTGGTTGGCAAAACCAGTCTACCGCAGAAAGAAACAGCATCTCAAGTGCAGGAATTTCAACGAGAATTGGTCAAGTTTGGTCAATTACAAAATTATATCAATTTTCTGAAAGCATCATATATATATATATATATATATATATATATATATATATATATATATATATATATATATATATATATATATATATACAGAAGAAACGTGTAAACTACGTTTAAATTGGCATACATAGTTTAGTTGATTTGAATGTGTTATTTATAACAAGAATATGGTTTCAAATGTACAATGCGTTTGGCCAATCAGAGTGCTTAACGCAATTAGCGTCGGTAATCGCCTAATCTGTGTTTCAATTTTCACTAAGTACTCGGCAGTCTGCCACGTGCTTACTATCATGTTGGATGCATCACTGAATGCCGAAGTTCCGTATGTTAGGCCTAGGAAACAGAATAGTTTATTTCTCTATTTTCCCTGTTAATTTTTCGACCCTTTATTTTTATATGCTTTTTTAAAATTCTCCTTTTAATCGTCTCACCCCCATGCAAGGCGATAGTGCCACCAAAGTGCATGGTGTAACGTGGATGATGCAAACTGAGAAAGGCGTTAATGAATAGAGTGCACAGAACGAAAAGGATTAAAAAAAAAGACAGTAAATAGCGTTTGATGTTACACTTAAATCTTTGAAGAAGGTGACAGCAAAGCAAGAATCCCGTAGAAAGTTCCACAGGCAAGAAGTTGTGAGAAAAGGATCTATTAGTATTGCATCTATCTATTTGAATACCAAAACGGTGAGACCTATCTGCCAATCTAGTACTAGGTTTAAATTCAATGTATCAAAGAGTAAACCTCATCAGAACAAATTCCACGAAAATGTTTATAGAAAAGAGAGAGATGTTATGGCGGTGGGACAATGGCTGAAGCCGAGAAGATTTAAAACTCATAAACTTTTCGTAAGGGTTAATTGAGAAGCTAACCGCTTAAGAGAATTTACGCCACTTTTTTTTTTCTTTTTGGCAGTAATTTTTGTCATGTCTCCACTTTTTAAGTTTTTTTTTTACGTCTCAGAAATTGTTTAAAATATATTTTGTCAATCTCTTGAATTTTTTTTTTTTGTTTTTAATCATTTTACCCCAAACAAAGGGATAATGCCACTAAGACGCAAAGGGTTATTGGAGGGGAGTTTGAAAGAAAATGAGAATACGTTAAGAGAAACCCCAATCCTAAACCTCTACTCTTGTACAAAAGAAAAGGAAGGAGTGTGAACCGAGCGACAACCGAACCTCCTATTCGAGTTGTCCTCGTTCTAGCACCGTCATACATCATAACACTAACTCTGAATACTTTATCAAAATTAGTACACATTAAATTTATATTGTAAAACGGGGTAGGAAAATTGCATTGCGTAACACTTCAAGTCGATCGAGCTTCTTTTTTTTTTAAGCATTTCACCCCCAAGCGAGGCGGGAGTGCAACTAGCACGCAATGGGTTACAGAGTGTGGGAGCAAGTATAAAGAGGTGTGATAGAGGAAAGGATGAAGAGAAGTACGAGGAATTAGGTCAAGGCATCTAGAGATGTCGATTGACATTGCATTTGAATAATTGGCGATTATAGCTATCAGGGAAGCAACTAAGAGGAAGGGAGTTCCACAGACGGGAAGTGTGAGACATGAAGCTATTGGAGTAGAAGAGACGGCTACATTTAACAGTTTCGACAGTGAAAGGATGGGACTGAGATGCCGACCTAGCGGCACGTTTAAATTCATGCAGTTTGGGAACCAGCGAAAGTAGCACGTCGGAGCAGTTACCGTGAAAAGACAGAGGGAAGCGACGGCATGTCTGTGAGAGAACGACTGTAAAGGAGATGCCAGATCAGGGCCAATCACATGGCATATTCGTCTCTGGATTACTTTAAAAAATTAAAATTCTAAAATAATTTTTATATTTTGTGTTTGGGCTCGACGCATTCCCTCTAACGTTGATCGTTAATACTTAATTACATCAAGCACAAGAATAGAATTTGTATGGCACCCAGTGAGAATCGAACTCGCAATAGAGAATTATATCCAACAAAAATGCAAAAAGAAAATGAATAAGTAAAAGAAGTGCTTTTGTGGCCATTTTATAGTATGCAAATATTTCGTTGCTTTGACTTGAGAGGAGATTGAGCCGTTCATCTCGTGAGCAGATGTCGAAAACCCTAACCGTTAAGTCATCGCGCCCTCAGACTTAAAAGACAATTGTGCTTTTATGTCATTCGAGACAAAAAGCGTACCTTCATGTGAAATGTGACATCCGGCTCAGCGTCATTACAAATGACCTTTGAGAAACTAGGACCAATTTCTCTATTTTTAATTTTTTCCCACCGTTCTCTCCGCGAGATTCTCGCGGGCTGTTCATTGTGATCAGAAGAATCAAATCAAAACTTTTTATTTGATCACGTCATCGAGAAAATCAAATCACTTTACTGCACCGGCTTATTTGTATTGTTGTAATGGCTGAAAGTGTTTTTCATTGTTATTACAATTGTCCTTTCTTACGTTCTTCTTTCTTCTTCTTTTTCTTCTTTCTCTTTTTCTTTCTTCTTTTTTCACTCCTCCTTTCTTCTTCTTCTTCTTCTTCTTCTTAGTCTTATTTTGCCTCTCCTTTGTTGTTGTTTTTCGTCATCTTTTTCTCCTCCATGCTTGTCTTCACTCCCAATTCACCTTCTTCCGTCACTCCGCCTCTGATTTTCTTCGTCTTTTTTCTCTCCTCTCTTCTTCTTTCACTCATCCTTTGCTCTTATTCGTCTTCTTTCACTCCTTTCTTCTTTCACTCCTTCTTCTTCTTCTTCTTCTTCTTCTTCTTCTTCTTCTTCTTCTTCTTCTTCTTTCAGTCCTCCTTTCTTCCTCATTCCCTCCTAATTTCTTCTTTATCATTTCTTCTTTTTCTTCTTCTTCTTCTTCTTCTTCTTTCACTATTCCTTTCTTCTTCTTCCACTCCTCCTCCATCTTTTATCACTCTTCCTTTTTCTCTCACCCTTTATTGTCTTCTTCTACTTCTTTTACTCCTCCTTTCTTCTTTCACACCTCCTTCATCTTCTTTCACTCTTTCTTTTTTTACTCACCATTTCTTCTTCTTCTTCTTCTTCTTCTTCTTCTTCTTCTTTTACCCCACCTTTCTTCTTCCTTGTCATTTCTTCTTCTTCTTCTTCACAATTCCTTTCGTTTTTTTTTCAATTCTAAGGCCGAATAAGAGGAGGAGGATATGATAAATGTAGGCCTCTTTCTTCTTTATGTCAATGATCTACACGAGAAAAATCTCAAACACTTAGTAAATATATATCCGGGTGATATGGGTGCACCTACAAATATCTTGATGACCAGTGCCTGTCAGTTGATCTCTCCTCTGACCTAACTCTTTCAGCTCAATGGAGAAAAGACAGACTAGTATCATTCTCTAAATATCTTGATGACTAGTGCCTGTCATTTGATCTCTCCTGACCTACCTCTTACCACTGAAAAAGAAGAAGAAAAGACCTGTCAGCTGATATCTCCTCCGATCTTGCAGCTCAATGAAGAAAAGACTTGTCAGCTGATCTCGACTCCGATCTTTCTCTTACAGCTCAATAGAGAAAAAACAGACTATTATCATTCTCTGAATATCTTGATGACCAGTACCCGTTAGCTGATCGCTCCTCTCACCTAACTCTTAAAGCTCAACGGGAAAAGACTGACTGATATCATTCCGTTGATCCAAATCTAAATCTGTGACATTTCATCACCACCGAACAGATCCGAAACCATCACCAATCTTAATGAATGGTGACGCACTCAAAGAGGCTACTTGCCTGAAAGCTTCCTTTAAGGAGTTGAAGCTCACTAGAGACCTTAAATGTAAGGCGTATATTCGTTACCTCGTAAATATATACTTGGAAAATGGTCAGTTCTTTGTATTCCCACACCCATATATATCTAGATCCTGTTACCATGGCTCTGTATTTATAAGAGCTAGATCAGACTAAGAATGGAGTCTTGTTGGCATATTTGGGTTGGAGCTTCCTACTGTCGTCCTTGTGATTGATAAATTATTTTTCACCTTGCAACCCTTATCCCACAGACGAAAAGTTGCCGGCCTTTCACTAGTAGATTTTTATTTCTATGGCAGATATTCGGAAGAGTTACATTCTCTACTTCCATCAACTTAGACCTCCACAACTAGAGCTCGCCATAACGTGGTCATGGTGGCAAACCATTCCCATTCCGTTGATAAAAAGCCAGCTTCTTTGCCAGAATCATTACTTTGTGAAACAAATTCCCTTGAAAATGTTTCCATGACAATTACAATCTTGGGTTCTTTCATTTCGAGGCCATGTGATATCTATCATACTTGCATCATGATACTTTCTTACGTTCCCTTTTTTTACATTCTCACTTTGTAGCCCTCTACGTTGAGGTGCTCTTGGGCCTTGTGCTGGGCGAATTATCTTTAAAAACAAGGAGTTCACTTTCTTTATATTTTCAGCTTAAAAAAAATTACAAATGCATTCTTTAAGTTTCAATGATAGTCAGAATTGAATGTATTTTTTTTTTTAGAATTTCTTTTTTTATCCACATAGATTTTATTTATAATCATACATGTTTCACTTATGATCCTCTGGGAACATTTTAAACTAAATTATTGCTTCAAGTTTTAGGTTAAATATATATTTTTTTGTTTTCCATTAATTAAGTTTTATTATTTTAAGAGGTTGAAACAAATTAATATTAAGTTTAGATATATTATTTCCGATTGTTGTTATCTATCTATCTATCTATCTATCTATCTATCTATCTATCTATCTATCTATCTATGAGAATGTGTATGCGTGTATGTGTCTGCCTAAGTTCAGTCATATTGAGATTACAAAGAAGCTACTTCGGTGCCATTTTTCATTCAATACAGAAAGAAAAACCTGATGGACACCAAATGAGATAGATAGATATGAACAGAATAAGATAATATGAACAGACTGAAATATATATATATATATATATATATATATATATATATATATATATATATATATATAAACAGACAGACTGATATATATATATATATATATATATATATATATATATATATATACAAGTATATGATTGGTATATACGGAATAAATTCCAATAACCAACAATTACTATTCTTAAAAGAGTGCTCAATTCAGAGTAGAACAGATATAATGATTTACAAAAAATTATAACATAAATATTTTTAAAAAAAACTACAAAAACAAAATGGCTATTTTTGTAGTGATTTTATAAAAATATTTATGTTATTTTAAATAATTATATATATATATATATATATATATATATATATATATATATATATATATATATATATATATGTATATATGTATATATGTACATATGTAGAGAGAGTGAAAGAGATAGAGATAGAGAGATGAACAGATTGGGATAGATAGATAGATAGAAAGAAAGAAACAGACTGATATATACATACATATATATATATATATATATATATATATATATATATATATATATAGATAGATAGATAGATAGATAGATAGATAGATAGATATGAAGAAACTGAGATTGATACGAACAAAACGAAATACATAGATAGATAGATAGATAGATAGGGAACACCATCATCATTATATAATTAGCATCACAACCACCAGTAGCAGCAGCATTTTTAGCGACATAATTGTCTCTTTGGCACTCTCCTTCTACATCCATGCTAACGAATTCTTCTTTTACTGCTACTGTTAGGGCTTCTTGCCCCTTTTTTCTACTGTACAGCACGAGTACTTTCTCCTATTCATTCTATTACGATCCAATTTTCTTCACTCCCGTTCTCTCTCTCCTTCCTTCTTTCTTTGCTTCTAATCTCCACGAATTATTTTCTTTGTCTTTTTACAACAATTATAATGGCTCGAAACTTGCGAATGATGCTTTCGTCGATGATGTGATGATGAAAAACAGCGGACTGGCGACTTGGTATTGATGGGAGGGTAGGTTTGTAGTTGCCCGGGGACGAGGCGAGTTTGCAGAAGACTGGTGGTGGGGCAGAATCAATTCTGAATAAAAATGGCGGATAAGATTCCATCTTTTCTACTTTTCTTGTTGCAATTTTGCAAATGTTCCGCTTTTTCGAAAAAAAAAAATCCTACATTATTTTTCAGGGGAAACATTCAATGGTTGCCAGCTATTAACTATCACTTTAAATCTATGCATATTGATTGGAGTGTCCGTTTATATTTGGGCATCTTAGTACGATCACATCTCTGGTGTTATTCAGTATCTATCTATCTATCTATCTATCTATCTATCTATCTATCTATCTATCTATCTATCTATCAGTCTGTTCGTATCTGTGTATCTTAATTTTGTTTTCACCTCTTTTCAATTCATCTGAATGTATTCACACACACACACACACACACACACACACTATCTGTAGAGTTTGACATTTCTGATCCTGTCTATAGCTCTCTAAACCAAAATTCCTCCTATCTATCTATCTATCTATCTATCTATCTATCTATCTATCTATCTATCTATCTATCTATCTGTTCTTCCATATATATATATATATATATTTGTTTACACCTGTCTTTAACTAATCTGAATGTATTCACACACACACATATATGTGTGAATAATTTGATATTTCTGATCCTGTTCATCCCACTCTCAATCAAAATTCATCTGAATTAGCTGAAATTTATCTATCTATCTATCTATCTATCTATCTATCTATCTATCTATCTATCTATTCTTCCAAAACTATTAGTTATTTTGGGAAATGTCTCAATCTGAGAATTTTTCATCGCCCCGTCATACGATTCCTAAAATTTAAATTTGCCATATATCTGAAAACCCTGCCGCCCAACAGAATTCTCGCCATTACCGTTTCTTCAAGTTCCTCTTGTTCATTCCGACAACCTTTTCCCGCCTATCTTCAACGCAACAATATTTTTTAAAATCCATCGCATCCATTCCATTTTGCATTTCTTCGCATTTCCCCACACGAATGCTCGCCCAGAGCAGGCAATTAAATGAGTTGCTTGTTACTAATGCCAGCAAAAATATGTAGAGAAATGGACCATTCCCGTCTATAAATTGATAGATGAAATTTACGGGGATATTTATAATACAAAACTGCACATATTTTCAATGACGGCATATATATCTGTATGTTTGGGCTGGGATACATTTCCATCGGATGATTTTAAATTTTTAAGAAGACAACTGCATAGGAAAGCAGCTTTGATAATGACAATAGTGTGATGAGCGGTTTCGATACAGGAAAACATTCGACATTCATTGACCGAAAAGTTAGTTTTATAAAATTTATAAAATCATTTCATTTTTCATCACAGTTTTCAGGAAAATTGGCCCAATGTTATCGTTTTTTTCTGGCATTCATGAAAGTTTCTAGTATTGACTGGAATTCTCTTAATCTTTTGTGTTGAAAGTAAATATCTCGATTATGTCATTATTTTTACTTTCTAGTTGTATGTGCTATCCATTTTAGTTATTGCCACTACTGGAAGTCTTCGAGTGTTGTCCCCATTCACATAAATATAGTAGTAAATAATGTATGTTGGTCTGCAATTGAAGATTCGTCTCCAGCTGTCAAATTCTCTACCTCCGGACAGAGAGGATCCCCAGATGAGGCTATGTCGAAGAGCAGAATCTCGTCTCGTGAAACAGCTACCCGGGCCGTTTTATACGGTTCTAGAGGGAATTTTGTTTAATGGACCTCAGTTATCAGTTATCTCCTGTTAATTACCCTCTGAAAGTTCTCAACTTCCTTAAACGGGTATTGAACTCACACTTTTTGGGTCCATTTACTGAATCTAACTAACTAACTAACAGTACTATGTGTCAAGTAACTAACACCTTTATCCACTGTACCATGTGTCAAGTGGATAAAGGCGTTTGTTAGATCCAGTGACAGGACCCAAAGAGTGTGAGTTCAATACCCGGTTAAGGCAGTAGAGAACTCTCAGAGGGAAATTAACAGGAGATAACTGACATCCATTAAACATGGCAAGTGGAACTAGAACAGTCTACCCCAGTGAGCGAAATAAAGGGTTCAGTTCGACATTCCAACCAACTGCAGAAGGCCGGACCGTACAACAGCCGAAACGTTGTAATCAATATGGCGACAAAGACGAGGACACTAGTCCGAATAATGTAAATAGTGTATATAATGCCTCATCTCAGAAATATAAACAGATACTAGCTGATAATTGAGGACATTTTTGAACAAGTAGGGCACCATTCCTAATATCCATCTAAAAATCTAGATGCTTCCGAATCTTTTGTCTCAGGTAGTGTGGAAACTCAACATTTTGATTATATCAAGTTCTCCTCTTACTTATCCACATCTCCCCCCGTTATAGGTTAATTAGTAAGACTTGTATCTGAATAACCTTATTATCTAAAAAATAAAAATACAATCTAAAAATATTTTCAGGCTTTAAATAACCCGAGAAGGGTTGATAAGCCGTAAAAAAACGAATCAATCAATCAATAAAAGCTTCTAGTTACACGTGCTATTCATTTTAGTTCTTACTGCTGTCGAATATCTTAATTGGAGTTTTGTTATTTGGTAAAGTTCTTTGTGATGCTGTTGCGCCAATTTATAAGATCTGATGAAGGATTGTCTTCTTTAAGAATTACAGGTTTCATTGGCTTGAAGCCATTTGTAATCGTTGATCTTTAAAAATTCTTGTATATCGTAAAGAGTTTAGACATTTCTGAGCGTACTGAATGCCATGTCTGGTATCAATATTAAAGTCTTGATCTGACAAGGCTACTTTAGGACATGACTCAAGGTAAATATTCTGGTTTTGCTTATAGATCAGTGGTTAGGAAGTTGGTCTTCTAGACTATTATTACGACTGTAAGTTCGGACCTCTTTGAGTGACCTACAGTTATGTTCTAAAGACTAAGATTAGTATTTACCTAAACTCGACTGCATAAAGCACCAAGGCTTAGCAGGTTAATCTTGCTGTTTATTAGTACTATAAATTTGGTCCGCACTGGGTGACTAACAATTATGGTCTTGTGTTAGAAGCTTAGTACATATCTAAAAATCGACTGAGCAATATTGTTTATTTAAAAAAATGTATTGCTGGTAATTTTTTTTAATGTATTGCTGGTATTTTTATAATGAAAATCTATTTTTATACGCTCATAGTTAACTGACGCCAGGGGTTAAATGTTTGCCCATAACAGGTGCTACCATCCCGGGTCAGGGTGGACCTGGGAACACCAGCAATTAAGAGCAGATTCCACGCTCCTCAAAACCTCCAATCTCCCGATCCGGTCGTTTCAATCTTTTGGGTTGCTCGTCATATATTTCTGAGGAGAGCTTAATCTGTCTACATGTCACGATATTACCGTCTTCCCGAGACTTGAATTTTTAACACTAGTAAATTTATTAATTGATTAATGAGATGCGCATATAATATCACCAGAATGTAGGCACCATAAGTGTGCTTGTCTGTGTACCTTTTAGATTCAAAGACTATTTTCGGGGGATAAAATTCCGCCCAGGACATCCATTTATAGAAAACTTTTATTAAATATCCAGGAAATTTATTCCCACTCTTTTATAGTTGCAGTACAAACCACAGGTTGGCTCTGTGTGTACCGAAGAAATACAAAATGTGACTGAGCATATATCTGCAGTAGGGATTAGCTAGCTATCATAGCATATGCGTAAAACTGGAAACATGTAGCTGAACATTATTTATATTCATAATAGAGGTCGAAAAATGTGACAGTGAAATCCGTAGGTGAACTGGGAGAGCAAAAGATGCCTACCAAAAACTAAGCAAAGTATTAAGAAACAGAAAAAATTTAATTAGAAACAACGAAAAGATTAGTGAACTCTTATATAATTCAAACTCTGCTAAAACATCAGAGAGCTTGAACAGTGTATACAAGCTGAATGCATACGGTATTTTTTGTGTACCCGTGTACAAACATCAGACAAGTGTTGAATTTGATGGAGGTAGAGAGAACTAGGTGTGGGGGTAAGTAGTTTTGTTCAGGTTTAGGTTTATATTCATATATTACTGAGCAAAGCTTAATCTTTCTCCAGGATACAATATTAATGCCATCTTGAGATTTGAATTCTCAACAGTAGTAAATTGATCAATGAAATGAGTTTACTATCTCACCAGAATGTATATGTGTGTACAATTTTCTGAAAATATACTTTTATATTTTATTTAATACTAGCAGCATGGCCCGGCGTTGCCCTTTGCTTGATTAAAAAAATCGTACGACTCATACAGCAATCGCTATCACTTGACTTTAAATATTTTTGCCCTTCCTTGCCTTTAAAGGAGTGCCCTTTGCCGTGCTGATGTTGCTACATTGCCTTACTTCTTGCCTATCTCACACTGCGAATTTTTTCTAGCTCTATACTAAACATAAAATCTGTTACGAAAAAAGAACTAAACAAAATGAACACAAAACGATCAGCTTTAAAAAAGGACTCGTAACTGGAAAAACCGAATGAAAATAGAATGTTAACAACGAATACTTTTTCACATCCAACCCAGTTCAACGGAATTAGAATCAACGTTGAGTTTAAGCAAGCGAATGAGCCAATTGGAGTAAAGTGCCAGATTTAAATTTTCCCACTTGTGACGAATGCGATTTTTTTTGCATGCTAGCATGCTAGTTAACATTCGTGTCAGTCAGCTGTTGGCTCTCACGCTTGGCAATAGAAACTTCCTGCCTATTCGTGGCAGCCAGCTATAGGCTCTCACTCTGGCCAGTAGAAAATGGCCTCAAACTACATGAAAACTGGCGTAGAAGCATGAAAAAATCGATGGGATGGGAAATACATATATAGTGGAATATATCAGAGCCGCTATCCATTACTGAACAACGTCTCTCCCTCCCTCCCCTCTCTCTCCTTCCATATATATATTGTGTTTATTTAGGCAGCATTTTTTCATTAATGCATGTTTCGTTAAATAATATAGTTTTGTTTATTTATTTTAAGTAAATTCGAAGAAGCTTTTTAGTATTATCACTGAAACACGAAAGGAAATCACCATATTGATACATATTTTTATTGTTAATTCTGTCTAAGCTTTACATAAGCGATCATCAGAGATTACAAGTATATTACAATAAATTAAATAATAAATTAAATAGCAAAGATGTTAATTTTTGTTTCAGATTGGTTATGCAGACATTGCAACAATGATAGTTTGTTTTGTCTGCATGGAAAATAACTCTGCAGCGATAAATTCATGCATATGAAACGCAGGAAACAAATATATATATATATATATATATATATATATATATATATATATATATATATATATATATATGCATGTTTCATTAAAACGACAAACAAGGTACTACGATTAAGCTTTCTATTTAATTTTTCATGTGTTCAAACAAGTGTTTTCTTTTTTGGACACAGAGTGAGTAGAAACTGCGAAATGTTCTAAAATACCGAGCGCTTTCGGCTATACCTTTATCCATTATCAAGGATGATTTTTTTTTCACTTAAATTGGGTATGTTTTTTGTGTGTATGTTTTTAGTGTTATAGAAATGTTTTTTTCCGAACACAATTAGCACATTGTGGCTGTGTTCGTAGTTAATGTTATTAAGTATTGGCCTAATCTTTTTATTATTAAGGCATCCATTATTTTTAATCTTTTTTTAAAATACGAATAAGGTTATTATGATTGTATTTTCTACTAGTATGTTTCGGATGCAGTCTGGTAAGTTTGTGTGCGTGTTTAAATTGGTTCTAATAGAGCTGAAGTCAGATAGGTGTGACGTAAGGCGTCTGGATAGGTATGTAGTCGTGTGATATCTTGTGACATAAGTTGTATGTGCGGACTTATCAGAATAACCAGAATAAACTAGAAAGATGCATCGGGCGTGCCAGTGATAATGACAATGTGTTCTTGACATGACCACAACGTTCACCTGACTTGACACATTGTGATTTTTTTTCTGTGGGACCCTGTGAAAGGACAGGTCTATAAACCCCCTCCTCTTACAAGCCTAGAGGAACTTAAGCAGAGAAACGCCGAGGTGCTGGAGAATGTTACACAAGACATGTTACATTGTGTTTGGTGGGAGCTGGACGACCGACTTCACGTGGGTCGGGTCACAGGTGGCACGCATATTAAAGATTTGTAAACGCTTTGTGAAATCGCTTATAAAATCTATATCCTTTTTGAATAACTTGCTTGAATTTTGCTAAATAACTCTTGTATATATATATATATATATATATATATATATATATATATATATATATATATATATATATGTAAGGTGTCCTCATCCAAATCATTTGGGTCACTAACACACAAAAAAGAGAATGTCTCATATCGAGAATATTTAACTACGAAAACATAAGAAAAATTTTATTTTTTTAATAACATGCCGAAATATCCAACCTTTGCCTGATGACGGTCGTGAGACCGGAAACACGTAGCAAAAAATTATGGAAAATAAAGCATAATATTTATTTAAAAATCCACATTACAACCAAAAAAACGTTTGCGGTTTTCTCTTCTTTTCGATATTCACACATTTCTCTCGATGGAACTACCATAACCTCTTCTTTTTTTCATATATATATATATATATATATATATATATATATATATATATATATATATATATATATATATATATATACGCACGTGCGCACACACACACACACATACATACATACATACATACATATATATATATATATATATATATATATATACACTCACACATTTCATTAAAAAACGACTGACAAGGTGCTTTTATTTAGTTATTTATATAATTTCTCGTGCGATCTAATACTTTTTTTCTTTTTGGGTGATAAATTATATAAAAAATTGTCGAATGTTTTTTTTTTATCCGAGCGCTTTCGGCTATACATTTAGCCATTTTCAAGGATTATATTTTGACTGCTAAAATTAGAAATAGTTTGTTGTATGTATATTTTATAAAATGTTTCATTGTTTTGTTTCAAAACACAGTCAAGGTATTATGTCCATATATATATATATATATATATATATATATATATATATATATATATATATATATATATATATATGTATATATAAAATGAAAAACATATATACACACTTCACGAAAAGAAAAAAAACTCGTATAGATATTCTAATACTGAATTTATTCAGACATCACGAGATTAATACAAGTTATCTTTCGATTCTTCAATCACAAGAAATACTGAAAATGTTGGCCTTTTGCTTCCCGGCATTTATTAGTACGATGAACTGCTGCTTGGGCAACGTTGATTGCCGTACATGCATTTTCAATTTCTTATCTAAGGGCCGCCAATGTAGTCAATTTTCTGCAATGCACAACATTCTTTAGAGTCTTCCATAGGCAAAAGTCTAAAAGCTACAAGATTTTTCTTTCTTCAAGTGTGTATACACTTTTTGGTAGAATCTGTATATATATATATATATATATATATATATATATATATATATATATATATATATATATATATAGATACATGAGTAAGCAAGAGGACGTGTACATAGACGCACACATGACAGTAAGCTGTAATTCCGTTAATCAACACAAACGAAAGAACCTAGAATTAAAATTAAATGCGAATATAACATCAAATTACCTAACACTTGATAAAGTTGACAACAGCATTATAAGCAGAAAAGTATTAGTTGATACAGATAAACGCCGCTTTCTAATGCAAGGGGGAGAACAGCGAATATTCTAAACACTATCTAATCTGTAATGACAAGAACGGTTATTAGGGACGTTTTACGGTGATGCGATTCACAGTGATCGCTTCGCATGAGATAACTGATTGTTGGGGACTATCGACGCTGTCATTTTTTTTTTTTTTAATCCGTTGCCTATAAAAACACAGCATCGTGTAACGCGATATGAGGAGAGAGAAATACACTCGACTTAGCAGAATACTTCACTTGTAAAAGAGGAAAGACCGGTTAAAATAAAAGTTTATCTGTTACATTTAAAAGCGTTTTGTTTACTTTATCAGAAAGGGGGATATTTTTGCTCTTAGTATTATTTCTTCAAAAGAGCAATATCAAAGGACATTACAATGAAGAAGAAATTAAACAATAAAATATTCCCTCATATGTACATGAATCTCTCGATTAATGCGCATTTGATTAATTCGTTTGTGATGAATGCACTGAATTTTTTATATTAAAATTCGATTAGTCATTCAGTTACGTGCCATGTGGGGTACAAGCTTAGGCTGTTGGATGGAAAATAAAGCCGTATATAATATCTACCCTTATATCTTTGTCCGTAAAAGCTAATGATACGCTTGTAGTCATGACATTTACAGCAGATGTGAGAGTTCGAGAAAAATTATGGGAAATCTGTAGTTTAAAAGTAGTAATTCGACCTTGCTAGCCAGACGTTTCTACTGTATCTTAATGGTATAGCATAGTTCTGTGTAGGATACAAGTTCGATTCCTGTCGGAGGACAAAAATTTTCTATGAAATTTCTCGGGCATTCAGGCCGATAAATGTTGTTAATACTGATTATTATATACAGAGCATTTACTTAAATATTGTATCTCTAAAAATAACGCAGGAACAATATATATATATATATATATATATATATATATATATATATATATATATATATATGTGTGTGTGTGTGTGTGTGTGTGTATAAGTAAGTATACATGTATGCATATAAGTATATGTATGTATATATAAAAGTCATATTAAAGCCGATTGACAAGCCGTTTAAGCTTTTAATTTAATTTTTCTTGTGTTCATAAAAGTTATTTCTTTTCGGGACATAAGGTCTGTAATAAATATCCGAGCACTTTAAGCTATTTTAGCAATTATCAAAGATTTTTCTAATTTTTAATTAAGGAAGTCATGATATTAAAAAAAAAAAAAAAAAAAAAAAAAACGAAGCAGGGCGTCTTCTCAAACATGTGTATCCACTAAAAATAGCGTTTGAAGTAATGAGAAACAATACTGGATTAAAATTAAAATTCAATTACAGGGGGTTTCGAAAAATTCGATGTAATTATCTGAGTAACTACTGAGATACACGCTTAGGCAATCATGTATCTTTCTATACATGACTGACGAGGCAGTAGGTTGCCATTTCTTTCTGTGGTAAACCAGTTGCCATCCAAGGCTATAGAACCCGGTCTGTTATGCTATTTACCCATAGCTGGTGGGAGAAGAAGAGGATTCATACCTTTCCCAAGGTTATTAGCACGTAAGTAAATATAATAGATTCGACTGGGATTCGAACTCGGCCCTCCGATTCCTCAATCCGAGACGACCATCATGTGACCTACATGACTTCATCTGGAACAAAGGGAGATAATAGTACATGCATAATCCTCGATTAGTGAGGTAAAAAAATTCTTTAGTTCAACCATAGTAATTGAAATTTCATGTCTTCCCGGGTACTTTATAATGATACTCCGTTGATACGTGAGAAAGATGGAAGTGAAAACCAATTGCATAACTGCACACAAAGCAATTCTTCATGGAGTAGTTTTCGAAAGTACTAAAAGTAATATAAGATAAAAGTTAATATGATTTTTAACTAATTAACCGATAAAACAAAAAAACAACTTATTCGGAAATTTGAAACATTTAATAAAAAAAATTGATAAAATTAACTTGAAACAGATCCATATTATTTAAAACACACACACACACACACACACACATACACACACACACACACACACATATATATATAAATATATATATATATATATTTGTATCTATAAAAATAAAGTATAAACAATAAATGTATTAAAATAAATGTCGGACTTAGACCATTTCATAATATATGACGTCATCTGTTTACGTTTAGATACGCTTACAGCAGATGTGAGAGTTCGAGAAAAATTATGGGAAATCTGTAGTTTAAAAGCAGTAATTCCACCTTGATAGCCAGATGCTTCTTCTGTATTTTAATAGTATAGCACAGTTCTGTGTAGGTAACACGTTCGATTCCTGTCGGAGAACAAAAGTTTTCTATGAAATTTCTCGGGCATTCAGGCCGATAAATGTTGTTAATACTGATTATTATATACAGAGCATTTACTTAAATATTGTTTCTCTAAAAATAACGTAGGAACAATATATATATATATATATATATATATATATATATATATATATATATATATATATATATATATATCTATGTGTAAGTAAGTATACATGTATGCATATAAGTATATGTATGTATACATGTAAATATATATAAAAGTCATATTAAAGCCGGTTGACAAACTGTTTAAGCTTTTAATTTAATTTTTCTTGTGTTCATAAAAGTTATTTCTTTTAGGGACACAAGGTCTGTAATAAATATCCGAGCACTTTAAGCTATTTTAGCAATTATCAAAGATTTTTTTAATTTTTAATTCTAAATGAATTTGTGGATTTTTTTATGTATGCCTTCGGAGAATTTTTACACACTTTATTTCCAGAAAAGAAAAGTCACTTTTTTTTATTAAATAAATAAAATATAACCCTTAAAACACAGTACTTTCTCAGTTTCCTTTAATGAAAATTGTATAAAAGGTGGATTGCTGCCGAAATACACAATTATCTATCTATCTATCTATCTATATCTATCTATCTATCTATATGTATGACCTGACAATTGCGTTTAGTATGAAACAAACTGTCGCCTGTACCTGTTGACTTCAATGTCCACTTTTATATTTACATAGGCTCTATCTCTAATATTGAGCACTTTACCCTATAAATATGCCATAACATTAGCTATTTTAAAATTAATTTTTATTTTCAATGGAAACTTACACAATGAAAATCCTGACTTTCATTTTTTTATTAACGTAATATTTTCATGCCATGTATATGATGGCAAAGGAACTATTGAATTGCTATTGACTCTATCGATAAATATTTTTTAAAAATAAATATATTAAATGTAAGATATGTTAAAATATAAAATGCTAAAACTTTCTCGAGCCGATCTTTGCCCAAAATCTGAACAAATGTCGAAACATTTGAATTTTGACAAGAACGCTTCCTACTTTGGCCGAGAACGTTTCGTTTTTCTGTTCATAGTTAAAAATCCATTTATTACAAATATTTTCATTCATCGTATGAAACCAAGTCTCAGGTCCAATTTTAGTATTTATTTAATTATACTATAATTTCATATTCAGAAATATTTAATATAAATAAAAATTGCTGACATATATGGTCTGGTGTTTGTGCTATATATCCTTGAAAAAAATCCAAAGAAGAATCAGCTATATTATTGGTTCTGATCTGGCATCCCGGCTTCAGTCACTTTCCCATTGTCGTAAAGTTGCCTCCCTGCGATGCAATGTTTCTGTTTTCTAATTCTTCCACACCCAGTAATCCCTTGTGTCTCAGTGATTTTTCTGCCATTGCTTGGAGTGAAATCGATTTTAAAAAAAACATAATGTTTGATATTTTATAAATACAATACAATTATAAAATCTGCCGCCATTTTTTGACGCTATGAGTAAGTTTTAAATGATAATAATAGTAATTCTCAAAAATGTGGCACATCATTACATCAGTAGTTCCAGTTGTAGTTGGAGCTATCGGATCGATTGGAAAAGACTCATTGAAGGGATTTCTGGTGAACGATGCCTCACAAGTACATCTCACACGTTACAAAGAGCTTTATCAATGTTATATGTGTGATCTTAGTTTTTGTTGGGTTTCTTTTTAATGATCTAGGGAAAATGTCAAGAGGCCATTTGTGACCTTAGGTCTTTGGTTGGAACCCGGATGGAAATGTGTATATGAGAGAAATCAAAAGAAATAATAATAATAATAATAATAATAATAATAATAATACAAAGCAATCAAAGCTAATCGATCAAACATCGTGATCAAAGGTCACAAAAACAGAATGTATTTTCTTACTGACATAACAGTTCCTGCAGATTGTAATGTATCTTTGAAGATATTCAAAATAAATAAATAAATAAAGAAAGAAAGAACTATCAGAATACACGGATCTTGAAGTGGAAATCTCAGAAAGTGTGGCACATGATTACATCAATAATTCCAGTTGTAGTTGGAGCCCACGGGATTGATTGGAAAATATTCCACTAGAGTCACTGAAGGGACTTCTGGTAGCACATGCCTTAAAGAAATACAAAAATGTACGCAAATGTGCACAAGTACCGCTTACACATTGCAAATATCTATGTAGAAAAAAAAAATCTGTGATCTTAGCTTTTTTCGCTTTTTATAAAAAATGATCAGTGGAAAATGTCATGGAGTTTCTGACCTTAAGTCTGTGGTTGGAACTTGATAGGGAATGTGCATACAGAAGAAGAAGAAGAAGAAGAAGAAGAAGAAGAAGAAGAAATAATAATAATAATAATAATAACAGGAATAAAAGTAATAGTATTAATTGAAATAATACTATATTATTCTAATTAATAATTACCAGAGTGAGCGTAATTATAACAAAACGAAGGAGAAATAAACAATAATTCAGTTGCTCTAATAGTATCTTTGACACAAATATATAATTTTATTAATAATTGTTATATTAATTACAATAAGAAAAGAATTAACAAAAACTATAAAATTTAGAATAAATAGCAATAGATAAATGCATAATTATCATATTGAGAGTTAAAAAAAAAAGCTGTGGTCTTGCGTTCTTAATATTACCTAAAGCATAATTTCAGCGGTCATATTAATTTGAAAAGTTTAATGACAGCAGAGACGTAATAATACTGATAAGATGAATTAATGCAAAATTAAATTCACGGTACAACATTGCAACATGTATATAATGGATCATTAAAGAAAGAAAATATTTTCTTTATATTAGGCATTTGACATGTCCTGATAGTCTGCCTCTTCGTCAGTATACGTGTATTGATGTGGATAAATACACAGACAGCGGGATAGATAGATAAGGACTATTGATACATATATTATGATAATAATAATTATTATTATTTATTATCTGCTTATCTAGGTACATATAAACCTCTAGAAAGATAGATAGATAGATAGATAGATAGATAGATAGATAGATATCAACAAACTGAGACAGATAGATAGATAGATAGATATCAACAAACTGCGATAGATAGATAGATAGATAGATAGATATCAACAAACTGAGATAGATAGATAGATAGATAGATAGATAGATAGATATCAACAAACTGAGATAGATAGATAGATAGATAGATAGATAGATAGAAAGATAGATAGATATCAACAAACTGAGATAGATAGATAGATAGATAGATAGATAGATAGATATCAACAAACTGAGATAGATAGATAGATAGATAGATAGATAGATAGATAGATAGATAGATATCAACAAACTGAGATAGATAGATAGATAGATAGATAGATAGATATCAACAAACTGCGATAGATAGATAGATAGATATCAACAAACTGCGATAGATAGATAGATAGATAGATAGATAGATAGATAGATATCAACAAACTGAGATAGATAGATAGATAGATAGATAGAAAGATGAATATCAACAAACTGAGATAGATAGATAGATAGATAGATAGATAGATAGATATCAACAAACTGAGATAGATAGATAGATAGATAGATATCAACAAACTGAGATAGATAGATAGATAGATAGATGAATGAATAGATATCAACAAACTGAGATAGATGATAGATAGATAGATAGATATCAACAAACTGAGATAGATAGATAGATAGATAGATATCAACAAACTGAGATAGATAGATAGATAGATAGATAGATAGATAGATAGATATCAACAAACTGAGATAGATAGATAGATAGATAGATATCAACAAACTGAGATAGATAGATAGATAGATAGATATCAACAAACTGAGATAGATAGATAGATAGATAGATAGATAGATAGATAGATATCAACAAACTGAGATAGATAGATAGATAGATAGATAGATAGATAGATAGATAGATAGATAGATTGCAGTTACAAATGCACACAGGCATACGCACACATATATTATACATTATTATTAATTATCATCTGTATATCTAGGCAAATATGAAATATAGACAGGCATACAGATAGATAAACAGACAGGTAAATTTTATCGACACATATATAATAATAATAATAATAATAATAATAATTATTATTATTATTATTATTTATTATATGTTTATCTATCGCGATATATGTCTCGATAGATTGACAGATATAAACACACTAACTAGCTAACTAGAGAGATAGGATTTATAGACACATATAGACAACGCACACATGATAATTATTATTTACTATCTGCTTATTTAGAGAGACATAGATAGATAGGTAGATAGATAGATATATATGTATATATGTGCGTTTGTGTGTGCTTTGTTGCATTAAAAAGCAAATGACAAAGATTTTCAGATGTTTAATTAAGAGAAATCCTCGAAAATAAACATATATTAACCTTAGGAAAAAAATAAGTTGCCTAAGTTAAAACTTTTCGAAACCAAACACATTTTTCTTCAGTGACTGAACCACGGTTATAAATATAGTAAAAAACAACTGATGAAGAATAGCACATATCTAAGCGTATCACATACCCATGACGTCACCATAAAGAGAAATGCATTAAATTATTTTAATATAGTTAAGTCAAAACGTCTACATAGCCATGGAATTTGAAAAATAACCAGAGGCATGGTTAAAATTGTTCAATCGATCAAAATTCTTGTGTCAATCGAAAAATGCAGCCTAAATACACATTATATATGTATGTAGTTACATTTTTATTGTCATCATAGTTAATGACAACAATTATTTCTATCAAACGGGAGATTTTTTATGTGGATGTGCCAGTGGTGCAATTGTTGAAGGCTCGAAGCGAGAAATTGGCGAGGTTTGTTCGAATTCCTGACGTTCATTAAATTCACTTTCGACCAAATACTCTTGGTAAAGGTATCAATCCATCTCTTGTCACCACGACAGGCGATAGTCTGTTACATGCTAAACGCAATGGTCAGAACACAATACACACACACACATATATATATATATATATATATATATATATATATAGAATGATTATATATATATATAGAATGATTATATATATATATATATATATATATATATATAGAGAGAGAGAGAGAGAGAGAGAGAGAGAGAAAGAGAAAGAGAGAGAGAATGATTATATGTATATATATATATATATATATATAGAATGATTCGCTTGAGGATGAAATGGAACTAATGTCTTTAATTTAATTACAAAATTAAATTCGAAGCTTCCATTTTTGAAACATGGTTAGAACTGTGTAGCGAATAAAAACCCTATTTTAAATCAAATAATTTATAATATTAATGCTCTGTAAATTTACATTGAGCACTATTTTATAAAATAAAAATATCTATAAGAACACCGGATTATATATCCTACTGTTCTTTCTTTTTTTCTTTCTATATATATATATATATATATATATATATATATATATATATATATATGACAAAGATTGTTTTTCATCGCAAATTGGTCGAACAGGGGTAATTCTGAAGGATAATATTTTACGCAAGCTGTTTTTTGCAATATAGTGTTTAATATCAAAAGATACTACATTAATAATAGCAACAACAACTACAAAAACAACAACAACAACAACAACAA